AGGTGTGTAATTGGTTGTATAATTGTAAAGCATATTACAGGTAAGTATAATCGTTTATTTCTTTCTTTCTTGCATCAAACATATTTGATATTTGGTCTAAGATACCGTGTTGAAACAGCCATTGATAAACTAGGTAAAATGAACATCTATATCTTTAACTATACCAATGCTCTAACAAAACTTGCCAACAATCTGTCGAGTAATTCACGCTTCCACTCGTTGAATCATTAGATCATAAGATCATCAATTGCAAATGAAGACCAGGTGTGTGTTAACTATATTAAACTTCAATAACTAGATCATTTATAGAAATTTGCTTTTCTTACCAGAAATATTGAAGTCTGTACGTAGCTCCCACAGGTAACCCTCTCGGTAAACAAAATAAAGTGGAATGGATTATCGATGGTGAATGTTGTGTATTGCTTGCCGTCTATAATTTTCAAAAATGATTTTTTTCTTTAACTTATATAAATAGAAATATAATCTTTAACATAATGTTTAGACTTGACGAGAGCTTTTAAGGGGTTTGATAAATGAAAAAGTCAAACGAAATGACAGACGCGACAGATAATTTAAATATGCTCTATTGAAAACTAAAGACGGGGTGTATACGTTATTTTTTTCCTGATCACAAATGATATATATATATCGCTTTTCCGTACAGTATTATAAACGACCTCCTAAGATGATTTAAATGTTTATAAATATTTTCTTCAATTGATAAACGATCCTAGTACTCAGTTTCAGTTATAGTTTTGATTTTCGTATTTCGCTAGATCTGTGCACAGACCACAGACGAACAATTACATTAAACTGAATGACCTTAACTATTTTGTCGCGGATGCCCCTTTTACATAAAATATCATGCACCTAATTTCGCATTAGATTTAATTCCGCAATATTTAACTTCTTTAAAGTCAAATACAGACTAGAAAAATACGAACATATTTGTGATCTAATTTGCTTTTATGACTGTCATCAAAATAATCAAAAAGGTATATATCGTAAGCATCACGTCATTTGAATTAGTAATTTGAATCGTACATGTAGGTCCCCTAAATATGTCTGATATTTGACAATGTTTTAACAATTATTCTTTTTACTGAACAGAATAGTAAAATGTTCATTCGCTTTTGTTTAGTGGTATTGCGTGTCAGATTACCGGTCCGTTACCTTACGGCAAGGTTATAACATAATTCACTTAGTATGATTAGCTAATGCATGTTTAATATATTGTTAGGACGACCTTGTAAACAAATTAATAATATATGATGTCCATAGATGTTGTTGTTATTTACAAAGCCAACTACTTGATATAATTGAGAAATTATCGAAGAATTACATATATTTATAATATATATGAGCCGCGTCACGACAAAACCAACATAGTGCGTTTGCGACCAGCATGGATCCAGACCAGCCTGCGGATCCGCGCAGTCTGATCAGGATCCATGCTGTTCGCTTACCAACTCTATTTCAAGTAGAGAAACTGATAGCGAACAGCATGGATCCTGATCAGACTGCGCGGATGCGCAGGCTGGTCTGGATCCATGCTGGTCGCAAACGCACTATGCTGGTTTTGTCGTGACGCGGCTCATATATGGTACATTTTGAGGAAACCGTTCTGTGATAATTCTAATTGTGGCTATTGCTTTATCGAGACCGATAATACGTAATTCATGGAAATGTATAAAGAATATAGAACAGACAATGTACAAACAAGCTAATTTAGAGAAATTTTAGCTAAATAGAGAAGGCACGATTCATTTTAATCTCGGGCAGTTTTTTTGTGTTGTTCGAAGAAATAGGCCGAAATATGAATTATACATCCCTAAAATATTAACAGAGTAAACGTTAAATTGCCTTTTGAAACGTAAGCCTGTTTTAATGTTTTAATTTATATAGTTATAAATTCATTTCTCAAACAATTTGACGTTGAAAAAAGAGAACTATTATTATATATCTATGTATAATAATAATATATATAATAAATTATAGGTATGTATTGTCTATATTATAAAACTTCAAATATATATCTTCCTACAGAAACCCTTATAAAAAGAAATAAAACATCATATTTTAGTTGAATTTTTAACAACATTTTAAGGCTTTACAGTTGAACAGTTTATCGCCTCCACGTAAGTTACATTTTTATTTAATATTTAATTTAATTTTTCACGCTATGTCGCCTCGATGCAAATAGTTATCGAATCGATACATCCATTAATTAGTAATCGGACAAAATATTCATTCTGGCAATTAAATAATTGTAACTATGTTTAAGTATGTCTGGAATTATTTTAAACATTAATTTTTCATACTCTGAAAAATTCAGCCAACTGATTAGAAAACAAAATGGTAACAAGTGAGTGTGTCTGATGATACGATAAGCCCGGGAAAAATGGTATATGTACTGTCATTATGGAAAATAGGCGCGTAGTTAGGAGGTATTGGAGCTATCGAGTAATATCTCATTTAGGTTGATGCTTTGCGCTGGCCAGGGTGTTTAACATTTAAATCAGTTTTATTCTATTTTTTATTGGATTTTTTATAATATGTATTCAAAATGGATATGTATTTCTTAAAACTATTTATGCATGTTTTGTTCGGCTTGAATACTTTTCAAACTACTGCACTGGAAATTAACAAAACATCGCCACTAAGAAAAAATGGTAAGTTTGACAGTGTTTATCTTTTTTCTCTAGATTTGAGATACCGTTACGCTTTTCGATATTGTAATTCTAACGTTTAAAACATGTAAGTAGTTTTATATGAATACTTGTAAATATAAATTTTAAAAGTAATGTTGTACGTAGGTAAAAACAAATAATTTCTTGTGTAAAATTGACGAATTTGGAAATAAACGCTATTCCAAAGAAAGGAAAAAAATAATTATGATAAACCAGCTATTTAAGTGGCAACCTATATTTCGTACACATCTTTTAATTCATGTTTTGTGGTCAATGTTTTTATTATTTATACCTTTTGACTCTGTAGTCTAACAGAACAATTCAATTAAGAAACTACCAAAATCATTGAATTGAATTGCCAGACAATCGGTGTTTAATCAAGACAAAAACATATAAGTTAAAAGTAATATTATTTTCATTCCTTTTCAATTCCCAGACAGTATTTCAATCGATTTTGTAGAAATATCATACGCTTTTGGCACAATAAAATTACTAGGAAATGTCCCGTCAAAAGAGAATTTCCTATTAACAATTGTCTATGTAATAAATTTATACCGTCTTAAGACTACACTAGACAGATATATTTGCATCGTAAATTGTAGTGTTTTGTACCAATAATACTGTCAAATCCAAAGCTGTTTTTCATTGATGAGGAAGACAATTCCGGAAATCGATTTATTAGGCGAGGAATTACTAGCCTATATGCAAATAGCTAGCCTACAGGTCATTGTCTGTACAGGTATATAACTATAGCATGTTTTCTGTTTTATAGTTTAAATATTTCATGGCTGAAAAAAAATGTTTCAATTAAAAGTCAGCATCTTTTGTAAAAATGTTATTTAAAGTTAAGAAATGAAATAAAATATTCGCGAATATTCGATGTCCTCATAAAAAGTTTTAATTTAAAATCAATCAAATATATGTCACATCTATCAAATAAAAATAATTCAGATCTGCTTTTATTTGTCAACTTTGAAGCATAAAATCTTTTTATGTCATAAAGCAGCATTAATGTGGTTCATAAAGACATAAGAACAATTATTCTTTATTATTCTGCAAAATTATAATTTTGTGATTTAGTTATTCGGTAGTCAAATATGCGATGAGATATTTTATGTTCACTTCCTTAACTTCTATTCTAAAATATCAGCTATGATTGTGATGTTTCACAATATGAAACAATGGTCTTTGCTTAACACTAGAGGTATTTCAAGTGCAATGGTAGTAATTATAATATCTAGTTATATATATTGGGCAGGAGGAGTATAGGTATAATTTGCACTGAAGATAGAATGGGTTGTTGTTTATTCAGCTTCTGCAAAACTTCATTTTCCATTAATGAATGTTATGAAATAAACCCGTAAATATAAGTGCCTGGAAAATATAAGCATTTTTGCAAACAGCTGGAAAATTAACTTTAGATAAGTTCTGTGTAAAAATCTAAGAATAAATACGGTGAAATTGGCTTAAAAAGAGCTGTATTCAGTTGCAATATATTTACATTAATATTTATCTTTGCTTTTAAACTTCAACATATTTGTTATTTCAAGACAAATTTGTAAAAATATTTAATTTGTGTAAGAAGAAAACCACTAAACAAAGATATGTAAATTAGATTTCTAAATTCTGGTTTAGATAATGTACTATGTGTTTCTGAAACTAATGAACAGATGCACTGCAACTTCTTTTCCATTCAAATGTGCAAGCACAACATTATATTATATTATCACTTTTGCAGGTTTGTCAAAATAGCGTAATTTTTATTTGATCGAAATGTATATTTTTTCCAAATTAAAAATTATCATTTACATCATAATCAAATCACTAAATCACCAAATACTTTAGCAAGGTTTTATTATCAGATCAATTTTTTCAAATATCAATATATTTCTATGATGTTAAATTAATGGTATATGTTGATGTCTGCTTTTTATATGATAAGTTAGCATAAGGGTGAATCAACGGCATAGCTATGTGGTTTAATAAATAAATAAAAGTTATTATACAAACACTTTATATAGATGTTTGTGAGCAAAATAATTTCAAGTAATTTGTGTTACAGTTCATTTTGCGAGGAAATATGATTAGCTGTTTTGCTCTACCCAAGAATCGAATGAAGTTTTTAATGCATGTAACTCAATATGTGTGTTTATATCTAATGTTCTTCAAAAACCAATACCAACTAGTTGTACCTGATTATAAAACAAATATATTTTCAACCAATCAGAAAATCGCAAAAGTGTAGTATCGGTTAATGTGTTTTTCTCTCGTATTTAATGATAGTATCATTTGATAATTACTTGGAAGCTGATATATTTGTAACCAATCAGCCGCAAGGAATTTTGCATGTTGACGTTTCGTTATCATGCATTTACCGCCTGTATATAAAATACAGAAAGCGTTACACAGGTACTTTCATTATTGAATTATCAGTCTGTCTTTATCGGAGATATTATACAGTCACATGTAGTTAAGCCGTCGTTTTATTTGACTAATTTCATAACGGCATCATGGATTTAAAACATTTTCTTATGGTGAAAATATTATTTGTGTTTAATGAATTATATGCTTGCGACGGAAAACTGAATGAAAGTACATTGTTAAGAAAGGAAGGTAAAGCCAACATTTTATTTATATCGTATTAGAATGATATATTATTTATCGAATATATATTATGTACGTTGCATTTGTATATTTATTTAATACGCATTAAATTAATTATATATGAATTTATATATATGAATAACAAATACTAAAAAATAATATACTCGATACTGTTACACTCTAAAAGGTAAATTGAGACTTTTGAATGCATGAAGAAATGGTACACTTACGCCACTATGCCTTAAGTGAGTAGACAAACGAACGCTACACACTGACCAAGAAACACTCCTTTCACAACAATATATTATCAGCTTTAGAAAGCCCGCACAATTCGAAATACATGATTACAATAAGATTCTTATATCATTCTTAATTAAATCTATAACTTGTTGTATCTTTTATACTTATTATACTCATCTATATTCGAGGAAGTATTTTTTATATGTATATGATTACAATGTATGGTTATGTTTATAAATCGTTTCATCGTATATTACAAGATACACTACAAGATACACTTGTTATCATTTTGCCTTTGCTGGAAATCCTTTATCACCCTTCATCACATTGTTTATGATGCAGGTTGCTACAAGTTTTAGAACAGGTGCACTGTGCATTATGCTATTAACAACATTGCTGATGCAAAGCATTAGAAACTATCAATTATTTCATATCAGTGTTGCTCAACAAGATGTTATAAAGAGATAAAACCCTTTTTTCTGCTAAATTAACATACAATATTTAACTCGTCATGTATTTGTTTGGAACTTGTTAGCAGATAACTATTAAAATTATTTATTGTGGCAAAAAAGACATATTACTTATCTAACTTACAAAGGATTCTTCATTCTAATCGTTATAGTATTTAAGCATAAACAACTTTTGTACCGTCGCTGGAATTGTATTGCTTTTACAATAAATAAGTTAAACATATTCGCTACTAACATATATTAAGTAAAATTAAAATATAATATATTTTTCGAATATTAGAATTGAAAATTTAAATGTTTTGTTACATAACAGGGGAAGTGTGTAACCGTTGACAGTTCTTTCATAAAAATGAAAAATAAAAAATACATGACATATCCCTTGTTTATAATTCTCCAATTAAAGTTATCATGCTTGTGTTGATATGGAAAAAAGAACTGTGTAATGTGGCATTTATGTTATAAAATATGTATTTTTATATAAATTCGTATTATAGAAAAACCGGTTCTAACATTTAACATGATTTATTATATACTTATAAATGAAATATTGAGAAATATTAATGAAATAAAATGCGTATTTTCATTTTCCGTATTTTCACTGTAAAATTTATTTTTCACTGCAGTGAAACATATTTTCCGTATTTTTACTGGTGTCTTGCCGGACTACTTTCTTTTAAATTCTGCCAGTACACAAAATTTAAGGGAAAGTCTTTCAAATTTTATCGCAAAAAAGATAAATGTATATAATAAACAGAAAATTCAATACTCTATCATATAGAGAATATTCAAGTTTTTTCTATAAATACATGATTTATTTTCATCTTGTGGCATGAAAATTACCATATTTCACTCGTGGCTACCACCACTCATGAAATATTTATTTTCATACCACTCGATGAAAATAAATCATGTATTTATAGAAAAAAACTTGAATATTCTCTATATGATAGTACTGTAAAATATATTGCTTTGTTCTTTTGCGTGCAATAATATTTTTTTTTTATTTTTTGTATTTATTTTTACAGTTTAAAATATTCCATGCATCATTTTATAAAGAAGAAAATAAACACGATGGAAAGAAATGAAATATACGATAGGTAAAACTTAGATGACGTCTTATTTTCTTGAATTTCATCGATGGTGTTTTTTTCTTACATAAAGACGGCACTATGTGCGGCATTGTATCTTAAACTCCCTTATTTCAATAATTTCGACTGCGAATTTTCAAGGTTATCACAATCGTAATGTATATAGATACATGTGTTTCTCATTTAATGTTTGATAATTATAAATACCATTGCTAAATATTCTTATAAAGATTTTATAACTCGCTCTGTTTCAAAGAACTAATATTGTGACTTGTTTGTCCTGTTGCATTGTTTTATATGAATTACAAAATGACGCAATACCCGAATTCTATAAATAACTTACATATTCAATTGTAACATCTATGTCTGTGGTGTGTAAAAGAGATATCTAACTTACCATAACTTTTCGTATCGCCTTCAAATATCGTGATAATGCCCATTTTGTTCTTATAACATTCAATATTGGTTTTCCGTTCTCAGTCCCGTCTGGATGCAATAATTACCATTTCCTTTCAATCATCAAATCATGTGTGCTTTCTTGCTAATGGTTATGCTTTTTACAAGCGACAGAAAAGGAAAATTATGTAACGTGCCCATCAATCTATGAAGCAAATAAAAAAAACCAACAAAGGCTGTGTACAAACTTGAATAGTTGTGAATTGAACAATACAAGTGACAGAATGATGAACTGCTTTCAATACTTAGATTTGTCCCGTGTGTACCGTTTATTGATTAACTATCAAATGATAGTATGGTGTGACTTTTATTGAAATGTTATTCTCTCCGGAATTTATAGTATTAATTTCATTTAACATGCAGCTACCAAAAGGACCATAACATTCATTTTAGTACAAAGATATACATAAGAAATATTATTAATGAAGTTTTGAAATATATATTCATTACAATGTGTCAAATATAACGCTCTATTAATAACCATTATTTATGATAATGTTACTTTTATGCCACTTAAACATATTTATCTTCACTTCAGAGAGTATTCAGGGAGGAGTGTTGTTAAAAATAGCGTTTAGTCTTTTCACAAATAAGTAGAAAATGAGATTAATTATCACTTTTTGTTTATCTATCTAATTACCTATTTATCTAATCACCAAGAAGATCGTGTATTTCTCTTATCTTTTGATATTAAGTACATTAATTCTAGACACCTGCTTATAGTTATGAGTTTTCACGCATGTTACTACTTTCGTTCCTAGAAAGATATAATGTTGCCATTTCGTTTTAATGGTGTCAGTCATTTGTTTGTTTACAGTTTGATCGGCATACAATAATTTATCATACAAATAATCTTATCATGTGGTTAAGTTACAGTTTGCTGTGCAAATCACGAGAATATATGTGCATACTAATTTTGCGTATATATCATTCTTAATCTTTTGTAAATATTTATATAACTTCTTGTATTAATTTCACGCTAATGAAAATACAGGTGTTATAGGTACAATGTGGCCAAATAGTTCTTTCTTTACTTGCACATACACTCATCAAAAGAAATTGAAACTTGTAGAAACTAATGCAGAACTAAACAGTTATTAATGACAAATTACTTAATTGTTTCATGCTTTTGCTTTATAAAAAGACTGTGTAAATTCATTTCAACTACAAAGTCACATAATTAAATAAAAATAACACAAAATAAACATATCTAGCTGATATACGGGGAGAAATAAACCGCATAAAATATTCAGATCGTCCGTTTCAACGATGATCAAAGTTGATTATTGCAAAACTGTTCAGTAGTCAATAGATTACAAGTAGAAATAAGTAAAAAAGAATGTTAGACAAATATGTTGATCAACATGTATTTCGCCTTGGAAAACTAACTGGTACATTTTGAAGTGGCTATAATATTGAGATGAATACACAGTTTTGATAGCATTAACAGTAAATAAATACAGATATTTAGAGTGTATTGTACATTTGCGATAGATATTGAAATGTGTATTTATATATGTATGTATATCATTTCGGATCTTTATTTTTATGTCCGACGGTATATACTGTATTGAATGCAAGGCATTAACAAGAAAAAAGTGTTTAACACCTGTTATATATATTAAATGAAATTCATTAAGCCTGTTATCTCTTTGAATCTAGCAGCAAAAATATACTTTTGATATTTGCGGAAGCACAAGAATGTGTTTGATAAGGCGCGTCTGAAATTCATGGCATCGAATTCCCATTATTGATACATTATGCAAGTTACATGTACAACTTTCAGCCACAAATTTACATTTATCATAAACGAATTAGTAATGAATTTACTAAAATAATAAATATACTGTGATAGTGGGAAATATCCTTCTCGTTAAAAAGAACCTTCTAAAAATAGGAATTACGAGAGTAGCATCGGCTTTCTGATAATATAAAACACAAGTTTACCGATTTGTAAGGGTCATCAATAGTCCTTTCTTGTCATCCGTCATCCTTGTAGTACATGTAAATAAAACAAGTGATCTTGTATATATATATGAAAAGCAGTAAAATAGAGGAAAAACGGAATCCTAAAGAACGTCCAAAACGACAAAATTAAAAATGTTGCAGGCTCGGTTTTATTTAGCCTGTTCATGGTTACACTTACCTTAACTACAACTTTATTCAAAAACTGGTGATAAACAAATAGATAGTATTTTAATTTTCCAAATTTACGATACATTTCCTAAAAAAAATCTGACAATTCAAATTCAAATATTTTCCATATATCAGTAATCATTAATAAAGACAATTTATGAAATTAATGAAGTGCAAAACGTTTAGTATTTTTATCAAAGTTTGTTTGAAATTGTCAAATATCCACATGCTACATAAAACCATATTTCACCATTGCTTTGGTTTTTCCGAAACATATTTCATTATAGTAAACGCCAATTTTGCCGAAATAGCAAGTTTTCGGAAAGCACGTTTCCGATAAGAATAAGAAACGGCGCTGGTTTAATACTGAGTGATTGCTCTGGTTGTTGTCTGGGCGTGTACATTAGTAACAACTGCGCTTTCCTTTTGATTTGGTTGTCGATATGTCAAGTATATACCAAACTATAATAAAATACGAGACTAATGTCGAGAACAGAATGTAAATGTTTACAGATAATACAAAACTGGTCTTTGATCTTTAAAGATAGCATTATGAGAAGAGGGTTGAGACATTCATAACTGCAATAAAAGACTAGAAAAGTGCATCAAATTAATCAAAAGAACGACCATTTTAAATGAATAAGAGTAATATTGTAAAAATCTCTAAAGAAGATGATGACTTATTTATGGTGAAGCACTTTCAAATACTTCGATGACTTAAATAGCATTAGAAATATTATAATTGAACGGCTTACAATGTATATGTTTCATTTATATGTTTTATGATTTATTTTATATGTAAATGTTTGTAGACTTACTTGATAAGATATAACTATTTAGATAACAATTTAGATTTAATACTAGTAGCATATTTTTTTTATAATATTTAAACGTAATATTAAAACGCTACGTTATTTTTAGTTCATTGTTTCAACTATATTTATAAGTATATTGTGTTTAACTTTTTAAGTTTGACATTATTTTACATTTTGAACTCCTGAAAGAAAGGCCTTGAATAAAACAGTGTTTTATTTTCATTTGCTACATACCGTTGTGTTATTACAAACGAATGCATCGCTCACATTTGATTAGTATTTCCCTTTGCAACGTTACAGACGTTTCCATTCAATAACATATCATGTCAGTAAACAGTGCGTATATATTACAATTAAGTCGCCGAAATGATTCATATTGGTTAAAAACTGACGTCTAACACGCACGTTAAATTCATGCGTAAAGATACATTTTTTTCGTGACGGTATAAATGGCATTGATAATATTTTATTTTTCAGACGTATATTCCAAAGAATGGTCTAGCATTTAGTCTAGTTTCTATCAATATTGATCATAAAAACACTATTGAAAACTTAAGTTTGATTTTTAATTTAGATTCTTCTTCTGTTTTTCTTTTAGGATATCTTGAGACATCAATGGAAAAGAAGCTTATACGAACATTACTCGAAGAATATGAGGCTCGCGGGAAAATGGGACGTCCGATAGTAGAACAAAATGATACTTTAACCGTCTACTACGGTCTTAGCTTAATTCAAATTCTTGACCTAGATGAACGTAATCAAGTTCTGGCAACTAATGTATGGGCATCTTATGTAAGTGATTTTTTTCTCTGAGCTTTAGATGGTACACCTTATTATAATCATATTGGCATGTAATATTTTGTGTAATTATATTATTTGTAATAAAGAGTCATTTTAAACTTAGTCAATATTTTTAATTTATATGTGAACTTGGGTTTTCCTTAAAATACTCTTGTAAGTTTGTGTTAATTGGAAATTTTCATAACCACAAATGTTGTCATGTAAAGTCAAAGGCCCATGTCTTTGACACGACATGGAGTGTATATAGACTAAATGATGAATTGCGGAGATGATAAATTATTTGTTTTATAGGCATGGAAAGATATTTACATGAGTTGGGATCCTGAACTGTACGCAAACATTACAAAAGTAAGAGTTCCGTCTGACAGAGTTTGGACGCCAGATATAAAACTATATAACTAGTAAGTAAACAATGAGATCTTTTCCTATCAAAAAATTTACTACTGCTAAATTGCAAGTTTACAATTATAAGTATTCATTTATGAATAAAATATTAAAATTGCTCTTGATTTATTATTTTACATATCGTTCATCTGATTTGTTTAACGACACATTTTTATTACGTAATATACATAAACATATTTCCATTTTTAAGAATATTAGTAGGCTTTACAAATACTATAATACAACCTTTTTGTTATTTATTTTAAACATACATGATATAAAAGAAATGTTATCGTTTTATTTCAGTGCAGATATAAGACTAGAAGAGAAACGAGAGACACTAGTTGTAGTTCAACATGACGGTAGTATACAATGGATTCCACAGGCCATTTATAAAAGTTCGTGTTCAATTAATATTCAATACTTTCCATTTGACGTCCAAACGTGTAAAATGAAATTCGGCTCCTGGACATATGATGGCAGTAAAATTATGCTTGAACTATTATATGACGTGAAAGAGGGATTTGACTTTACCGAGTATATACCAAACAACGAATGGAAAGTTGCCTCATCATCTGCTAAGAAAAGTGTGATATGGTACACGTGTTGTCCTGGAGAGCCGTTTGTAGACATAACATTTTATTTACAGATCCGGCGCCAGCCTGCCTTTTACAACTATATTCTTATTTTGCCTTGTATCCTGTTATCGTCTCTCACTCTAGTTTTGTTCTGGCTACCTCCTGAGTCTCCAGCAAAAATGCAATTAGGTTTGTAATTTGTTTTTTTTAAATTAAACATTTGAAAATATTGCTTTTTAAGACACAAATGAGTTTTTCTTTGAAATATAAATCTAAGTAAACGTTACTATGTGTTTCTTATTAAATATAGGATGTTGTAACTGTAAGGTTTGCAATTCTGTTTGAATTATATGAGGAAAATTATTCAAAGAATTGTAAAGAAAAGCGTTCACATTTGAGTATTTTGTTGTGTTTTATAACGCACGAAACCTGTCAACGTCATTTGGCGGCTTTACTTGCGAAGAAAGACCTTTGGTGTTCCTCCGTGCATAATTAAGACACAAACGTTGAGTATAAATAAATAAATTTTGAGATGGTATCAATTTTTATATTTAATTTCATTTAATTTGGAAAGCTTAAAAAAATTATCAGATATATAAACATTTATTTCGTTACAGGTATGAATATATTTGTGGCGTTTTTCGTGTTGCTTCTGCTACTAGCCGAGTCTACACCTCCATCAGCGTCTTCTATTCCCCTTATAGGTTAGTTATTTGATAATAAGTAACAATGCTATATAGGAAGTATTTCATTCATTTATGTTATAGAGGGTTAATTCACCTTTTTTCGTGCATTAACATCTATAGTAGCAGGAAGGCGAAATTAAAGCCCAATGCCCGAGGGCGAGGGATATAGTAAGTCTAAGGGCTTTTGAAGTTGTCAATGACCAAGAAAAGTGCAATGGCGAAAATCCTGTATAAAAGAATACCTCATAATCGGATATTCGGCTATTGTATTTCGTATAACGAATCACACACACAAGTGCTTTACGGACTTTATGGACTTGACTAGAATCAATCCGTTAATTAATGCATGTTTTGTCCTCCGTTAACGTATACGTGTACCTGCATGCGCAGCTTTTATGCAAGAATTTATATTAATATACAAATATTTATGTTCAAATTTGTGTAGCATTCAGTCTTATTACTTTTAATATCAATTCGTAATGTGACACTATTTTGTACAGATAACATGTCAAATAGTTAGTCATGATATAACATTTATTTTTTTAAATGCTACACGTTTGAATCAATTGTTTTTAAATTTAATTTACAGGAGCGTATTACTGCTTGAATATGGTTTTAATCACATTATCGGCGTTTCTGTCAGTGATTGTGGTCAATTTGTATTTCCATGGGGCCAAACGGGATGTCCCCTTTGTTGTTAAAAAGGTGAGAGCTTTACTTTAATAATCAAGTACATATATGTAATTATACCCTTATTTAAGTACTCTGCATATTTACAAGAAAATTATTTGAAATAACCAAAGTTTTGTAATATTATCAGTCATAAAATTTGCCAAATTAATATTAAAATAGTTTACTAATTATTGATACACAGTATAAGATTAGCGGATTAGTAAAAATTGAAACTTACAAGTGTCGTATATTTTTATAAATAAACACGTTGTGCAAATCCTCTGTTTCAATTCAGATTTTGAATGGTCAATTAAGTTAATATTAGATTTTTGTTCATAAAAATGTGCGTAAAATCAGTAAAATATGAAACATTTTAATCAAAGTCAAAAATATTCCTAACAAAAAGCGCATAATTTATCACATGTATTATGAATGATACTGATATGTCTAAAAATGTGCGTAAAGTCAATCAAATATCAAATTTTTTAATAAACAAACATATTCCTAACAAAAAGCACATCTTAACATGAGTGACATTGATATTGTCACTTGTAATCAGCAACATAATATTTTGTAAACTATATTACATTAAATATTTCAGATTGTTATTGATGGTTTAGCACGGCTGTTCTGCATGCGTGGAGAATTTGTCAAATTAGAGAATGCCGGTCGAGAAATTGGAAGTAAAAGATATAATGTTGTTCCTACACAACTAAACAAAGACATCGCTTCACACATGAATGATAATCATGTGCCATACACCGATGTCGCCGACGAGGAAATTCTTATCAGGACGCTTTCGGATGGCCAAACAGACAAGCCGGAAGCATTGTGGTTGAGAAGCCTTGCGCATGACATTCGTGACATCCGGTCACAGTGTGAATATCTAGTTGACAAGCAAACGAAACTCGATAAACTTGAGAAAACAATTAAAGAGTGGAGACTGGTTGCTGTTGTACTTGACAGACTGTTCTTTGTCATTTATCTTATCATAATGATTGTGTCCATTTCGACGGTATTCGATTTTGTGCTCTTTGGAAAGGACGGGAACAGCAGCTCATAGTGCTGGTTTGAGGAACAATCAGTTCCAACTATTCTTGTAACACGCCTTAGAGGAGTAAATGTTATATAAATTTGTACATGTTTGAAACTGTGCTGAAATCATTAAAAGTCGTCCGATGTGATAAATGTAATTATGTTATAGAAAAACTGTAAGAGAATCGTTGTAAACCATATGATGCTGTAAAATGATAGAATATTTATTATTTATGTTCTTAGCCTTAGAATCGTTAAGATCAACGTCTGTATGAAAGTTTGTACACTTAACAATTTAACATGGATTAAACTTGATAGAAGTAATTATTTAAAATGGGCGTATATCTTGTCCAGAATGAAGAATCCCGACGGCCAGGTTTTGGTATAGCTAATATATACATTATTTATAATATTGAACAGACTCAATAATAATTGTTTAAGGACCACAACTATTGTCAAAAAGCACTAACAATATAAAGTTTGAAAATCTAATATAGATCAGATTGAGCGTATAAAACAAGCAGATATGACAAAAATAAAGAGATTTTCTCAATAAACTTTTTAAACCTGTACAAAGTTTAGTCAGATTTGAGTTAAAAGCGTTAATTCTTTTTTCATTTTAGGTTATTTTGAACAATGGAAATTATTATTAAACAAGGGCTATGATCTGACACTTGTACACACGTTATTAGTAAATATTCACATCAAATGCTATGGAAAAAAGCCGAAACATGTATTCAGTCCAGTCATGTAAAATACTTCAGTGAAATCTCTTTGAAAAATCGTAAATTAGTTGTTGGTTTAAACATATTTATTTAAGCTCGATTGCGAAACAAGTTCTTGCAACTTATATTAATCACTTTCGAGTCCGCTTCCTGGAACCAACCAGTACTGGTGTCATATGAAGAAGCATGGTCGTGACCCGAGTAGGGCTCGACCCATGATCTCTGGGTTGTGAGGCAGACACCTTAACCACTAGGCCACCACTCCCCTCAAATTAGTTGTTAAATAAAGAATGAATTTTATCATGATTATATAATAGGGCATTGAATATAACACGAGTTGCTTCCTATATTACTGCAATATTTGATATTCATATAAATATATGATGCTTATAGATAGATAGGCTGTTGAAATAACATACAAAGCAATATTTGTCTTCCGGTCGCATTTTATATTTTAATTTCATGTTTACTTTTATATATTTAGCTTGAGTATTTCTATGGTATAACATAATAGATTTCTCAATCCTCTTTAACTTCTATTTGGCTAAGAAGACAAACGTTGTATTTGAGCTTTTAGAGGCACAATGTTCTTTTATTAGCAATTACAAATCATATCATTAATAAATGGTTGTAAATAAAAAAAAGATATTATTGTTGTACCTGTATGTAAAAGTAATTATGTCCCTTTCATCGTAGTAATACATCTTATCACGTGACAATGTATATTTGACGCATGCCTGTTATTGAATTAAATGATTTTTGTTTAAATATTAAGACTTTAGCTACTTTTTGTATAGCTTGTCTTTTTAACATGAATGTACACACACCTAAAATTCCTTTTCCATCTCATGACATAATTGTTACAAATGTGTAAAAATAGATTGCCACACTTTTCATCAAACATTGACAAGTGACGTATTTTTGTAAATAAACTTTGATATGACATTAAAGATTCATGTAGCAATATCTTGTGGACTGCTGCTGGGTAGGTAACTATATAAAAGGAGCAAATATGAATTAAAGTGTTCACGGTTATCACGTGTTTGTTATTTTTATATCATATGCTCATGTTATTGAAGAGAATATAAAATATCTCATTTGTCGTCTTTTGATTAATTTGAAATAGAGAGAAATAAAGGATCCCTACAGAATGCCCAAAACGACAAAATTGAAAATGTTGCAGGCTCGGTTTGATTGAGTCTGTTCATGTACGGTAATGGTAAGTGCAATGGCAAGTTACCGTCCACGCCCCTTAGCACCGGCCTTAGCAGATGATGGTAATGGTGAAATGTTGAATTGAGAAACATCCGCAGATGTGTTCTAACGTGTGAACGTACCTCACTTTCCAACCCTTCCATTGTCTTGTTCAAAAGAGGAAAAAGATTTAAAAAAAACATATCTTGAATACTTACCGCCTACATGAATATATCTGACAATTTTCAACACGAAAAGTATTTCTGGGTGCCCTGCTTGGGTGTGTCGGGGGTGGGGGGGGGCTGCGTCCTATGAACGTTGCCTTTACCTTATTGGTCTTTATTCTTGTTTTTTTTTTAAATATTATTCGGAAAGATCAGTAATTTATCATTGAATGGAAATATGATTCAACTCCGTACAGCTGTCCTATACCGTGCTAACATTCGATACCTTTAAATGAGATCATAACAATTCTCGGCAGATTCTTAAAAATTATGATAACAAAGCAACAATCATAAAAATATATATACGATTATTGAAAAAAATAGTGCCCTTTCATACATCCTTGCATAAGAAATTCTAGTTGATTGAACGTTTAAATGAAATGACTTGAAACGCATAAGAATTCGGGATGGAAAAAGTAATATTACAGGTTTGCAAAAAAAAACACAAAAAAAACATGTATGATAATTTCATAGTAAGAACAGGACAGTTTGTTTTAGTGCAATGAAAAATGACAGTTTAAAAAGGGTAAAATGTCATACAGTTAAAGAAGATATATACATGGAATACCATATATGACTTATGATTAGTTTGTAAAAGACGTATTTCGCTATTATCATGAAAAATTACCATGTATACATGCATATGCGAATTAACGTTATTAACATGATACATTTTTTATATTGTCCGCGCTTAAATGATATAACGTTTAAATCAGAATGACTTTGTCAAAAGTCCATCGGTATGAAAGATGTTTACGTAATAATCATGGCATGTTTTTCTTCAAATATGCACCGTGCATTAATTATTTACGTTATTATCATGATTGCATATTTGTCAAATATGCACCGTGCACATATAATTTGCAATGTGCATATATGCATTAATTATTGTTGTCAGAACTGATATATATATATAAACACCGTGTATATAAGATTATCGTTATTATCATTACAAACTTGTTACATATGCCGCTTGCAGTAAGCTCTACGTTATTATCATTGCAAACTTGTTACATATGCCGCTTGCAGTAAGCTCTGCGTTATTATAATTACAAACTTGTTACATATGTCGCTTGCAGTAAGCTCTACGTTATTATCATTGCAAACTTGTTACATATGCCGCTTGCAGTAAGCTCTGCGTTATTATCATTGCAAACTTGTTACATATGCCGCTTGCAGTAAGCTCTACGTTATTATCATTGCAAACTTGTTACATATGCCGCTTGCAGTAAGCTCTGCGTTATTATAATTACAAACTTGTTACATATGTCGCTTGCAGTAAGCTCTACGTTATTATCATTACAAACTTGTTACATGTGCCGTTTACAGGTAAGCTTTGCGTTATTATCATGACACATGACAAATGTGCCCGTGCATAAATGATTAACTTTATTACCATAACAAATCTGTCAATTATAAGATTTACGTTATTATCGGGATAAGTTGTTTTTTTTTATTTTTTTTTTTTTATGGAATTGTTTACTTTGCTTCAATTCCATGTGATAAATAACGATTTTCGTAATCGAAACGTTGCATGTTTCACGCAGTTCATCCCGAAAAATCGCCACTTTGTAGCCTATCTTTCATTATCGAAGATCTTTATTTAATAAAATATAAATCTTTGCATTAACGTAAGGATACTGAGTGCATAAAACGTTAACTTGATGCATTAGCTAATGCACGACGGCAGTATTTTATATTATAACAAGTTAATGTTTTTGATACTGAGATTATAAAACATATAACTTATTGATTAGTTATGCTCGAAGTCATTCAGTTCCAACAGTTGTGCATTTTTGATCAAGTCAGACATGTTTTGTTGTTGTTTTTATTGGCTTGCAGCCACGGCTGCAAGCCATTTCATTTGGAAAACTTGTTCCGGTTAGGTGGTTTCCTGCTTACATCTGTTGGTGCATGATTGAACGGGAAACCAGCTGCAATCGTGCCAATCGCAACTTTTCGGCCTTTTCCGTCACCTTCGGATTAATGATAATAGCCGATGTAGTTCCGATTGCAATCGTGACAATTCGGGCGATTCCGTCATATTGCGGAATCAGACGAAGTAATATTACGGAAATCTAAGCTATTTTAGTTACTCCGGTGATCCCAGTTTGTTTATATAGATAGGATTTCTATTTTTACTTGATTTATCGGTTTAAACCGTAATAAATTATAAACGAAATTGTCCCGTTTCAATTGTTTTTCAAGACGCAAAAGTTAGTTTCTTTTATAATTGTTTTTTGTCTGTATTAGTTTTATACAATAGAGAATGGTGACTGTAGCTTCAAAGGGTGGTCCTGCTTACCAAATCACGCATGATCGAGTGATATTTAGATCTACTGAACTTCTTGGTGAGGTAGTCTAAAAATAGCCCATGTATATCATTAACCTTGTACAGATAGCGCATCGTCTATTTGTGATCGTGTAACATAGTTGATACATGCTTATTAATTGGTACCACGTAACGAAGTATTTTAGTGCATTTACTTGTCTATAAAGCAAAGGAATGAAATGTGCACACTTGTTTTCATTCAGTATCACGTTAGTATTTTTACGATTGATCATTTTGTTTATTAGTTTTATACAATAGAGAATAGATTTCAAATCGTTTTGACAAAAAATATTCGGTTTTCTAAAAAAAACAAAAAAACTAAATCAACCCTTTATGATATACAAATACCGTACTTAAAAAAAAATGTGATAATAAATTGAAACCAAAAAAAAAACAATTTTAAAGGGTTGGGATGAAGGCACAACTGTGCAAGCCTTTCCTTTTAAAAGGAAACTTTATTTCTATTGACGTGATAAACGTCTACGACCATCATAATTGGTTCAACAATCCGCTGCTGCAAAATAGCTAATTTTTTATTGTCTTTATTCATAGTCATACATATATGAGCCGTGCCATGACAAAACCAACATAATGCATTGGCGACCAGCATGGATTCAGACCAGCCTGCGCATCCGCTTTCTTATCAGGATCCATGATGTTCGTTTACAAACCCTATTACAAGTGGAGAAACTGATAGCGACAAGCATGGATCCTGATCAGATTGCGCGGATGCGCAGGCTGGTCTGGATCCATGCTGGTCGCAAACACACTATGTTGGTTTTGTCGTGACGCGGCTCATATATATGCGTCGTAAATTGATCTTTCTTTTTCTATTAAATTTGTCAAAATCAAATCAGCCTTTATAGATAAATGGAAAGTCTTGCTTTTTTCTGACATTTGGAGAAAATGCCGGCGAGATTGCGTTGCATATGTCTGATTGTGCATTAACAGTTTCAGAAGCGAATTCGTCTTTTTGTGAATGTTATAAATGGGATAGACTGGCAATCAAATTTTCCATATTAGTACATTAAACCGAATGGCAAATCAAATTTTTGAACTTTCTATAGATGTGCTGTCTAACAAAATTGACACCATTAGCTCTTATCCCGTTTGATTGAATTATCTCGGAGTTCATTGTTGCTTATTTCTATTACTTGAATTTCGTCGTTTCCATTTCCCATGCTAAAAAAAATAAGCTTGTGTTCCAAAACCATCATGATAATGCAGATTATGATTGTAACTATTAATCAAGATGGCGAAATTTATTAAATAAGTTCATATTTATATCATTTTACTAGAATTTCCCGCTAAAACCGAAAGAATTGCGATTTTTCGTTTTTCTCCATTTTATTTCCCCTCTAAGAAAGAGCCAAACAAGAATGCAAATCTGGCTCTATACTGCCGTTCGTAGCTTAGTTTTTTGTACTTTTATTTTGAAATCATACCACTTTACCAAATCCAAAGCAAGGCAAATTTATTATACTAATCCTGCAGGAAAAGGGTACCGATTTAAGGGGCGTGCGATATTTTGCACTTGCCTTTACATCTCATAAGCAAAGTCAATCAAAATCAAACCGGTTCTGCAATTTTCACTCATAAACTTTGTTACTGTTACATGTACTCCCTAGGGATATTCCCTTATCCGAATTTGTAACATAATTGCTGGCCTTGCATTTTCTTTTTAACCCATTACCAGATATACACCTTTTTCGCCTTTTTCAGCCCCTTTTTCTTGTCATAAATGGTGAAAACAATGCCTAATTAAGGCCCCGAACACTTTTTTTGTTTGAGAAAAGTTGTTCAAAAAAGTGACCACTTTTTCGGCGCCGCCCCCTATCCTTTTAAAAGATACATCAAGGGGTTGCCTGAAGGGGGATTTGCCCTCTTCTGTTTGGGGGTTTGAAGGGGGCGGCAGCCTTCTCATCATCAAGAAAATTTTGGACTTGTGAGAGACTAAAAATGACTCCAGGGCGTCATAAGGTAACATGTAACCAACGCTGAAAAGCCTTTGACTCTATCTCAATCCATTGAGAAGTTGCAGCACATTGAAATCAATCTTGATGGAAAAAATCAACGCAAAATAGTGATTTTTGGCAATTTTGAGATGCTGATGCGGTAATGTTTTAAGGATTAATATATGTTGTACATGTTTTCATCCAACAAAATGTATAACTTAACATTGTGTTGTCGTGATGCACTCCATAATGATTGTATTTCCATTATTTCCGTTTTGACTTCGTTAGAATATTACGTTTTTCCGCTTGAACCATTGATTGCTGATTTAC